CCCGTGAATTCTCCGTTACGAATTTACAAGTCGCCAGTGAAAGCATGAGCAGTAACAAGCGCGCAATCGCTGAGTTCAGTGCATCCCACGATTACGATCTCCGAGCACTGGGAACAATACGGAAAACGTAGTATTCTAGGTCTGTAGAATTAGCTCGTAATCTGGCCGGAGGAGTAGGAGGCAAAGCATCGGATCGACCGTTTCGAAGCAAGCTTTTGCAATGCAGCGATGAGTCAACGAGAGTTAGCAGGAAAAAGCGGCCTTTCTCGACTTATCGTGAAAACTCTCCCGTCGCTGCCTTGTCACAGGATGTTACAAAGTCCTCCGATAAGTGGCGAGATTCCTGAAATTCGACAGTCCTATTTGGCCGGTTCGAAAATTCCAAAGGAATCCCGTGACGAGCTAATCGTGCGAGAGCTAAGGTCTCGTCGACATGGGTCGGTACATGGATCATTCCAAATTGAGTCGAGGACACAAAGACCGGGATGTTTCCCGATTCCCGTAGCTTCTACGACTATTCCACTCGCGAACTATCCACGTGACAGGGTGCGAAAGAAACGAGGAAAGCAGAAAAGTCGCGAGAGCGACCTAACGAGTGCGCAGACGACGCGTAAGCGGACGTCTAAATTTGGACCGTTTGTCGGGATGCATCCCGCTGATAGGACGTGTATGAATTCCACATTCTGTTTGTGGAAATTCCCCAGTCTGGTCCACCTGTGTGTCGCAACGGCGGATCGTCAGGGACAAGCCTGATCAACGATCTCGATAACGAATGCGGAATAGGTTCTCGTACTTTTCCCAGGATCGCTGGACTTATCTCAGGCTCAAAAGACACGCCTCCGACGCGATATCAGAGATTCGAGCACAAAGCGGGGATTATGGAGATCTCGTTATAATTGCGGAAAGACGGAGTTGGCCTGAAACGAGGTATCGGTGGCGCGGAGCGGGAAACAATATCGGCGGAACTGGTCAGGTTCGGATTTCGAAATAATTAATCGACGTATTATAATTGATCCATAAAGACAGGCTGCCGCAACACGAGCGGCACACGTTTCCTCGAAGGTGAAAGTAAAAGCGGCCCAACACTTAGCTCGCGCTGTGCAAAACCGCACGTTTTACTCGCCTCTTATCGGCCTGCGCGTTCAACGTTCCTGCCGCGGTGACAAGGATCACGAGACTTTGCGTTCCACGTGATCCTCTCCACGAAATCGGAAGCGCCCTCTGTCCTCTGCTAGTTCCATCCTCGTTCCCGTCGATATTCCTCTTCCTCTTCGAGCGCACCGTTCGCCATATGCAAGGAGCGTTTTCTCGCCGAGCCGTTCCGCGGCCAGCAGACATTTTCTGCACGCGACCAGCGGAAATTGAAACGTCGCAACGAGCAGTTTCCATGGTTTGGCTTCTCCGCTGGCTCGTAACCACTTTGCACTCGCGGTTAATTAAGCGGATTGTGTGGCAACCGTGCATGCACGCGTTTGCGTTAATCTGCATCTGCATCGTGACTCAGGATCCGTCTCGTACGGTTTTCTGAACCGGCCGATTGCGAGAGCGAGCCTCGCGAAGCCACGTTTTAGCAGGCTGCCAGGCATTTTAGACGGTGTGTGTGACCAGCTCGCGTTTACGCTAGTATCGATCAAGGCAGGGTCAGCTTAAGCGTCAAGGTAAGCTTGCTTCTGGTCGACTACGAGCGATGGCCGAGTCAATTAGAAGGTACTCGGGCACTCGCTTCGCTCTGGATTCATACTGGGACAATCGACGATTAATGCGAATCTAATCTCCTTGATCGATATTACCATCGAGAAAGACACGTAGTATAGGAAACGAATATTTTACGGTGGAACGTCGATTATACGAATACAACCCGTCGCAACTGCGCTTGCGTCAAGCACTGACGAAACCGTATCGTTATTACTCATGGCTGAATATCCTGAATTTTCTTTTTACCCGTTTATACCTGCCTCTCGTAGTCGTTTCCAAATCCAGATATATTACGCGCGAAAATTCTTGCGATTTTTCTACTTCCTCGTGACTCACTCTTCATTTCCCTCTCTAATCGATCATATGCGTAATCAAAATTCGCGAAATCGACGTTTTAGTTCACCTTTAGAAATTTATAGAACGCATCACCGAGATGGTGGTGTCTGGACGGTCGATTACCTCGGCGAGAGATGAAAAAACGAGCTAATTGGCGGATTTTTTAAATCTTCCGCGACGAGTCATCGCGCGATATAGGAGCCTCGATTCAGACAACTCCGCCAGAAGGGGTCGACTTTATTTCAGGCCGGGAAACGTTCGTTTCCACCGCGGTAAGAATCGGAGCAGCACGACGTCGCTCGTGCGAACTACGCGTCGGATATTTTTGGCGCCGTCTCTTTTCCCTTTTTCCCTTTTCTCCTCCGACTCTCGCTTTGGGGAGCCGTTTCATCGCGGCAGCCGCATTTTTCCCGCCCGATGCACGCCGGATAAAAATACGGCTCTTTTCTTCGTTTTCTCAAAACCTCATTATTCCCGCCGGTCCTCGCGGCGCGTCGCGATTGGACGATGTCCACGAGCCTTAACGTGGCCGCCTCTTTGTGCGCCCGCAAATATGCGACGGGAATACTGATATCGAATCGCAGGCGACATTCGAGAGCTCTCAATCGCGCAGCACCATTGTCGATACAATGCAACCTCGATATGGATCGGTGCATTGTCCAATTACCTCTGACGTGCTCGGTTGCATTGGCGATCGATGATGTTAAAAGGGATATCGAGGATATTTCGCGGGGAAAAACGGGGGCAGGCCGTGCCATTTCTAAAGATACTCCCTTTCATCCTCCTTTCAAATAAATCTCGCGCTCCTCTTTTTCTTCCAGCATTTTCACCCCCCCTTCCAGGGTTCTGATTCGCAAATTTATGCTTCCTTCCTGCTATGGATTAATGCCCAAGGTAAAGAGCGCGCGCGAGAAGTTTGATCTGCATATAATCTCCGATCCCACGAGGCGAGAGTCGATACGGGATCACCCTATTTTTTCACCTGCCCTCATCGTGGCGACCCTCGCCGAGGTAATTCCGTCCCCCTCTGCTCCGTTTTCCTCGCTGACAATGCGAAGCTGCTAATACGTCGTCGCCACAATTCCGCAAAGAGGAAGGACATGTGACATTTCCCGGAGTTTACAGCGTTTGAGCCGGGAAGATGGCAAAAACGATACCCGAGGCGTCTATCCCTACAGCTACCCGTGTACCTTCCCATTGGGGTGGCCCTGCTTAATCGTCGATCGAGTATTTCTGCGCCAGTTTCCTCCGTTTCCTCTCCCCGGTATCATACTCGTCCATGAAGAAAAGGACAATAACATTCGAAGCCTCCAAGCTGGAGAAAAATAAACAAACACGGCCGATGTAATTTTAATATCTCCTCGAAGAACGTTGGCCGAATCGAGCGTTTCTCAAATCGTTATCCAGTTCCGCGAGGCAAGTGGGGGTGCAGGGTGTGACTCAGCTCCGTTTTTCTCGTCGATATCCGGTGCTCCGTGTCGTTTTGCACGCAATTAGAGGGAATTTCAATGGCTCCGCTGCAGGTTGCAGTCAAGAGTGAAAGTGTGTCACCGTATTTTTCGTTTTTCACGTGTTACTCGCAGACGGTGGTCTTGAGACGTTTTGACGTCACGCGTGTGCGCCGATATGGCCGGGGGGGGGGGGGGGGAGACGTGTTTACCCGACGCGGGGAAACGATGAGGTTACGGGTACCTGCTCCAGTCTATCGAAAAGTAAGACGCGGCGTACGTGCTCGATGGAACGGAAACGGGAAGATGGAGCACGGGGTTGCGGAAGGGTTGAATTATGGGCCCGATGGCGCGAACGTAGACCTCCGTGGATAGATCTTATCAGCGTGGTTTCAACGAAAACGCGTTAATGGGTTCATTATCGCGGTACCATTAACGACGTTTTCGTGGCGTATTCCAATCAGCCGTATTCGGATCATTAACAATGGCGTTTCTCAATTCGGGGTAACGATAGAGCAGGTTTCGAAAGCGTTGCCAAATGGGGAGCAAGAGGAAAGTTGAAAATTAGCGGGCTGCCAGCCGATCGGTGCCCGGGGGATGCGCGTAAACAGAAGGAAGAAGCTCCGAGGGTTGGCCCGTAGGGGGAGAAAGAGAAACGACGACGCGTCGCGGCGCCTGGAAGGGGAACACGAGGCGGTCGGGCTCGATGCGCTCGCCCGTCTATTTAGTCGTTGGTCGTGCGCGCGCCATGCTGGATCGGCAGCGATCGTTTCCACGTTGCTATTGCGACCAAACGTGTTCGTGTTCCCCTCATCGACGCGTTAATTAGACCGCCTCCTGGCTCGCGACGATCGTTGACAAGCGCAGCGCTGCCGGGGGGTTGGGGGGACGCAGTGTTGTTGGTTAAACTCGGCTAGAAAATCGGACGATCTCGGTGTGGCATGCCGGTCCGTTCCGCGACATTTGCGAACCGCGTGCAACATTGTTAGCGAGGATCTTCGGCTGTCGAAATTAGCCTCGGTTCGGCCAGTTCCGTTGGAAACGCGACTGGCTGTCGAGCGAGTGTGACCGGGGACTCGGCTCGTCGTGGAACGTTCCGCTGGTGGAAAACGGTTGCACGAAAGCTGCCGTCGCAACAACGGGAATTACTGTTAATTTCGGTGCCGCGGTAAGTCGAACCGGAGGTTTCTGGAGCGGGTTGGAGGCGAAGAGAAGGAATCGGCACCGAGCTGTCCGACGATACTCGAGACCCGCTCGTTAACCGCTCGTCGAAGGCAAACGCCGGTTGATAACGTTATCTGGCTGCAGTAATTGCAGCCTGTATCACGGCCGGCCATTGTCGTCGGACGTCGAGGCTCCACGGAGGCGACCACGAAAGCTGCTGCTGACCGCGTGTGTCAACAGGTGATACGATCGGGAAGCAGAGACAAAAGGGATACAGAGAGAAGACGCGAGTGGGGGCGTTGCCGATAGGTCTGCCGGTGGTTGAATGAAAGGGAAAAGCGGTAGAAGAAGGGAGGCTAGTGCGGATCGAACGGGATCAAAGGGATCAATCGGACGAGACTGCGTGTTCCAGCCCGTGGAACGTTTGGTCACGCGATAAGGTCAGGCATCGCGTGTGCCGCGAGACAAGATAGAGCGATAAGCTCCGAAACGGAAAGAGAGTGGAAAGGAGCCTCGTCTGGCGCCTTGTGTTCCTCGCTAAAGTGACACGTCGCCTTGGCCAATAAAACGACAGACGGTCTAAACTGAACGGAATCGGCAGCTGCTCTCCCGGTGTGCGCCTCGTTCGTTGGCCCCGTCGCTTTAATTTCAGACCGAGTCGGTCGAGTTCCCAGTGAAAAAGTGATCTTCTTGGCATCTTCGTTCCTCGTCTCTCTTCTCTTCCCGAATGTGCATCCACGGTGAAAAGGAGATCGATCCGCGTACGATGACTCGCTGGAACTGATCGTCACGCCGGGGTGAAGAAAACAGAGGATTCGTCAGGATGATGATGGCACCGCAGGTCGTGGGTGTGCTGCTGAAGAAACCGGGACAACAAAGCCACCCACGCTTCCCACCGTTGGACCCACAGGAGACCAAAATAAGAGGTTAGTCTTCTCTCCTTTCTACTGGGCTCTGGTTTCTATCTTATCTAACCACGACGGTGTTTAGCTAACAATATCTAGCAAGTCCTCGACGATAAAACGATTTTTGCGCGGAGAATAATCGTCGCAGGGATCGTTGAACTCGTTTGGACGGGCACTCGGGCGAACTGCGCGTGAAAAGGCTCGGAAGGTTGGTTTCAGCTTCGTTCAAATCCGTTCCAATGTGACTTCGTCGACAACAGCGGGGAGCACAGTTGTTTACCAGAGTCGTTCGGACTCGCAGAGAAATTCCGCGAAAACGTAAACCCGCCATTCACCGGCCTCCTCGGACCGATCCTCGTTACATTATCGATGTTATGATTCATTGGATCGTGTTGTTACGACATCCATCTTATCAGGCTGTAACTCGAGGCGCTGTTTCGAACGAAAGTGAACGTTCGATCGTTCCCTGAAACCCGTGCGTTTTCGCTCCTCGGATCTATTTATTTCCCGGATAACTCGCTGCGAAAGGCACGCGGCGTTTCATCGATTAACGATCTCCCGGCCGGGATGACTTATCGCGATATTCGCGCGATTCCTCGTCACGCGATAACGGAGCAGCTCGTTCATCGATATTCGCCGTACCTTTCCAAATAACGTGGAAACACCGTGACGAAACGGCACGAACCGTTCACCGAGCCCCTCCATTCTACTCTGGGCAGCGAATAAAAAAGCGTATCACGAAATTCTTGTGGTACCCCGGGCGACCAGTGTGGTCGGCTTTTTCCGCAACGGAAACTCGCAACCTCTCACGATTCGATTGACAATTCGTGCTCCGTAATCCGGTATCTGGGCTACCGTGGTAACGGGATACTTTTACGCGGTTATCCACTCTGGGGAACATGAAAACTGCCTGTCTAGCGCGGCTTCCACTACGAGAGCTTCTCGTTCCTTTTTCTCCGCACACGCTATACTCCGAGGGATCGTAGCCCTGACACCGTCCACGATTTAATGTCAGGGTTGACGACACCCGAGGAAATTTCACCGTGAAAGTCTCGCCTACCGACCGGGTTCAATGACAGAATTTATGCGAATCTTTAATGGCCTGGACCGATCGAGGTCGAACGAAATTCTGGAAACCCGAGGCTACCTGCTGTCAACCATTTTTCTCCGTTCGCGAGTTCCTACCGCACAGCGGTCTAGAATTCGCGTTATTGCGTATCGGTGAGAAATGAAGGTATTTGTACGCCTTATCTAATCTGGAACAACCGACGAATTAGACTTCGTGGATTAGCTTCGAGTTGAAAAAGATCGTCGGTGATAATCGCGAGGCTCTTGTATCGAAACGCTATCGAGGAACCTTGAATAGCGGTGAGAATATCGGTTAGGCTGGTTCGCGTTTGTTGCGCGGATGGTTAATTGTGACTGACAAGTGGAGTACCTAAATTCCATCGTTTACGGCAGGTCAAGAAACAGTAAAAGGAAAGCAGGTGAGTCTATCAACGTATCCGTACTGGTTTTGACGCTGCCAGGCTGAATTTCTACCTGCCTTAACTCCCCCTGCCTGCGCAATTATCGTCGACCCTTTCTCTTCTAACGGAAACCAATTCGAAGTCGCACGATTTTCCGATTTTCACCTCCTCGTTTCGCTACATAATGCCATTTAACTAAATCGTCCCGCATCGCGCATAGCTCTCAAGATCGAGTGGGTCCGTTTATTCCGATGACTCCGCGACTATGTTACGAGATGACACGTGCTGGAGGTTTCGATTTTAACTTTCACGACGAAGACTTTTCCCCGAGGCTCGCGTTTTTCCTTCTCCGACACGCTCGATGCAACCCGATTCGGTACTTAATCGTGCAGAAATAGTTAATCGAAGGGAAAGTTTGTCCGGACCCCCCGAAGGACCAGTCGTCGCGGTATTTCTCCGAATTTTGTCGGAATTTTCGACTCGACCAGGTTCGAATGAGCGTACGCGACGTAGGAATATGGAGGACGGGGAGTTTGGATCCCCTGTGTTTCATCTTCGGAAACACTTTCCGTTTCTCGACGGTCCCCCTCGGTGGATTTTTCGCGAAACGCGAGTCCCCGGCATAAAAGGAAGCCTCTTTGTGGCACAGAGGGGCCACGCTGTTCTCGTAAATAGCCAATAGGACCCTTTAAAGAACCCCACGGGACTGCGCACGAGTGTCCGCAAATGGTGACACACGTTTCACACTTCGAGGTCCGCGTGTGCGAGCCGGGAAACAGGATCTCAGGATTTTTTAGGCCGAACGCGAGTGGCTGCTGCCTTGCCGTAAATAAATTGTCGCTCATGAAATATCCGACCAATGGTCGAGGTGAAATAAATTTGCAACTCAATGACGCGGCCTCCGGACGATAACGTCCACGTTGACAAGGGACATTGCTCGAACGATTCTCCTCGAACCGTGTTCTCTCGTCGCCGATGACACGTACGCGTATCGTGCCACGGGATGAGCGTTGTTTCCGTTTCTTACGAAACTCCTCTCTTTATCATCGTTATACCCAAAGTCCCAATTAGGCGTTGCTGTCGAATCTCCTCTGGCCCAAGGTAGACCGCGGTGCGTAAGGTCGCACAGAGGCAGAATTGGCATTTTCGAGCAGAGAATTCGGTATCGTAATTCCCGTTGCGTCGCGAGGACGCCAGCTTGTGCACGCCATTGAAATTTAGGTCACAGCGTCGAATTAAGCACGGTTCACAAGTGCCATTGACGAAAACCCGCCACGACCGGGGATTAAGATGTATACACGAAGATAATGTTGCGCCCCATTCGTCGAGTTTCTTCGAATGTCCGCGAATCCTTTCAGGAGGATCCTCCTGTGAGAAGTCCGTCCCGGCGGATGCGTTTGCGGGAATTAATTCCGTAAGCTGTCCTCGTCGAAGGAAGACGAGGATCGACGCCACGGACGAGGATGGAGCCACGGATGAAAGGAAAACGCTGCTCACGTTTCAACCGAGGATTTCTCATTGTCCGAACGACGGTGCATCTCGATAAAAGCCTACCGGTCAATTGGAATAGTCGCGAACGCGAATAGGGAGTGTAGGAAGAGGTCGGTGGAACGGCGATCGACGCGAGGAGGATCGACTGCGAGTCGCGAGGAGCGACACCGTGACTTAGGTTCGTCGATCGAATCGAATCTCGGCCACGAAAGACGCGCGTTCTGCCTTTCACTAAATGCTCGACCGTCTTCTTTTACACGTATTCGGGATTCAAATGGTCGACCCGGTCGTGCCATTTACCATTCGAGGCTCTCCGTGTATCGGCGAATCGCTCGCCGAGCGTTCTCCATTGTGCGTAACCAGGCGCAGGTAGTACTCGCGTAGGGGGGAAATGAAGCTCGTCGATTTTTCGTTTAATCGTCCAGTCGAGGGAATAAAATCGAGAGAGTATAAACGGACACGGTTTAGAGCTTCCTCGTGGAATATCGGAAACCGTGGCGATATTCGAGGCCGAGCCGCGTGAACGGTGCTTAAAGCGCGGCGCGGATTGAAAATGTTGGCAAAGGCGGGGAAAACGGGGGCATAGGAAGTGGAACGATTCCTCTTGCGGCGTTATTCGTAGGTAAACAGGTGTTTCAGAGGAACGTGGGCGCCGCTACGGTGGGCGATTTCAATAATTCACTTTCATCCGCTTCCGAGGTTACCTGAAGGGAAGCAGAACGGTGTCAAACTTGGTTTCCAGCGTACGTGTCACTGTAGAAGCGCGAAAATTGGCCAATCCTAGCTCCTGTCGTTTCGTCGGGCGCGAGAAAGTTGCTGCTTAATTTGATCCATTATACGTAAATAATTGCAATTAGCGATTGATTCGATCGCATCGCGTCGGAGAGAGGAGCGTAACCTACTCGCTTCTTCGTGACCAACTTAATGAGTTTATGCGTCGAGGTATCTTTATTATCGTGTAAATCGTTCTGTAAGATCGGGGAATAATTTCGCCACGATTCCTTTCCGATTTAATGCATGAAGATCGTTCCAATTACAAGGGAATAATTAAAACAGCAGGTGCGGCGGAGTTGATCTCCTTCGATTGACCAGTTTCGCGACACATACGAGGCCCCGGCTACTCATTTTCGATAATCGGCCATCGCTCGATAAAGATTCGGCGATTAATCGAGAAAGAGCCGTCTTCGAGAAAAGAAATTACGGCTTCCGCGATTTCTCGGGCAAGGAACACGGTAACGAGAAATATATTCGTTTCACCGAAGAAATGCCGTTCAACTAGTAGCCATCCACCTATCGATCACAAATCGATCACGGGATCGCGAGGCCTACGGATCGTTCCGGTGAAATTCCGACGAAGAAAACTGGGCCTGCTCGTTTTTTTCTTCCCCCCCCCCCC